TGGAATTCCCATTCTTCTCAGAGTCAGCCATAGTTTGTTATGATCCACACAGTCAAACGCCTTTGCATAATCAATGAAACACAGATAGACATTCTTCTGGTATTCCTTGCTTTCAACTAAGATCCATCCAACATTACCTACAATATCCCTAGTACCATGACCCTTCATAAACCCAGCCTGGACTTCTGGCAGTTCTCTGCTGATGTGCTGTTCCAGTCGTTTTTTGATAATCTTCAGTAGAATCTTGCTTGCATGTGAAATCATTGATATTGTTCTATAGTTTCCACACTCCGTTGGGTCACCTTTCTTTGGAAAGGGTTGGCCAGGTGGTTGTTCCCCAGATTTCTTGGCACAACTTGGTGAGCACATTCCGGGCAACATCAGTTACCTGAAAGATGCCATGGACAGGAAGCCTCGATACTGTGAAAATGACAATCCTACCAAAAGCAATCTACATGTTTAATGAAATCCCAATACAGATAGCAAATTTACTTGTCAAGGAGATCGAAAGAGAAATTGTCAAGTTTATTTTAAGAATAAAGAGACCTCAAATAAGCAAAGCACTTCTGGAAAACAAAAATGAAGTTGGAGGCATAGCACTCCCTGAACTCAAAACCTACTTCACTCTGGTAGGAACCCAAACAGCATGGTACTGGTATAATTACAGGCACAAAGACTAATGGAATAGAATCAAGACCCCAGAAATGGAACTCATCTATCTATGGTCAATTGATTTTCAGAAAGGGAATAGAACCTATCAAATGAGGAAATGACAACCTCTTCAACAAACGGTGCTGGCAAAATTGGACTGCTACTTGCAGAAAGCTGAAACACTATCCACATCTCACACCATATACAAAAATCAACTCCAGGTGGGTCAGAGACATGAGAATAAACCCCAAGCCATAAAGTTCATATGAAACAAATTGGGATCAAGCTTAGAAGGCCAAGTAGATGATATAAAGAGGCTGAATAATACAGCTAGAAATGCACAATCTGGAGAGGATAAAATTGATGAATGAGACTTTCTAAAGATTAAATCCCTGTGCTTTTTACAAAAGAGTGAAAAGAAAATCTACGTACCGGGGGCGGGGGGAGAGGTTGGCAATAACATCCTAGACAAGGGTATCAAAACAAACGTTTACAGAATACTCCTAGTCCTCTAGAAGAAAAAGACTGATAATCCAATTACAAAATGGGCAAAAGGCATGGTAAGACTTTTCACAGTGCAAGACATTCAGATGGCCAACAGACACATGAAGCAATGCTCAAAATCACTGGCAATAAGAGAGATGCAAATAAAAACCACAATGAGATACCATCTCACCCCATTTAGCAATGGCAAAGTTTAGCAGGGCAGCAAGCAAGAAATACTGGAGAAGATGAGGAGAGGTGGGAATTCTCATACATTGTTGGTGAGATGGTAAAATGGTACAACCACTCTGGAAGACAGTAGGGCACTTCCTCAAAACGTTGAACATAGAAACTCTGCATGACCCAGCTATTCCACTACTAAGAATATACCCCAAGGAAATTAGAACTTAGACACAAACAGAGATTTGTACACCAGTATTCACTGCAGCATTATTAACTATCAGAAGAACATGGAAACAACCCAAATGTCTAACCACAACTAGATAGAAAAATTATGCTACATTCACACAATGAAACACTATGCAATACTTAAGAGCAATGATTTAAAAAAAACACTATATGACTTGAGAAAGATTGGAGAACATTATTCTGAGTGAACTATCTCTATCTCATAAGGACAGATACTGCATAAGACCATTATGATAAAAGTAGAAGGATAACTAGTAAACTATGTATGAGAATCCAAGGGGGGAAAGGGTAAGAACAGAGGGGTAAGGATATGTAGAGGTGAAATCAGAGGGTTGCACAATTTGGTGGTTGGAGGAAAGGGGTAAAGGAAATGAGAAAGATCCAGTGGAGACCTGAAAAGACAGGATAATGGTGGGCATAGTCCAATGGTGATTAATTTTATAAAACATAATGCCTGGGAATGATTGTATGAAACACAATGTGAATAAAGAATAGTGTGAAACACAATGTATACTGAACTTTGTAAGCAAATAAAAAACCCCAAACCAAAAAAACAAAACAAAACAAAAAGAGAGAGAACATTTTATAGCTGATAGTTTCTCTTAAGTATCTTATTTTCCTGCAGAATCTTAGTAAAACATTACTTTAAGGTAGAGTACTGTCAATTACGCCTTCTTTTAATGGTTCTGTCACTGAAGGAATGTCACTATACATGAGAGTTCATTATCTTAGCAGGTTATACTGCTTAATCTTCCATATACCCTGAATTGCATCATCTTGTAAAAGATACATTGTTTGCAAGGATAGGTGCCTCATATCTTAGCAGAGAGTAAAAGCAATTTAATCATTACTTCTCTACTTCCACACTTATTTAGCAGAAAAAAGAGATACAGTGTTAAGTACAGCTTGATTTATAGAGGCCTTCTAAACACACTGATAAACTAGAGCAAATAATAGCAAAGAAAAGTCATTATAACATTATAGTTATTACTTCAGATAAAAGATCAATGATTAAAGCCCAAAGTGTAAGAATTCTAAATAGGCTCCAATGGCTAGGGAAGATTAAATATATTCTGAAGGAACAAAGAAAGGTCTGATAATCAGGAGCCTCATCTCTAATAACACAAATGCTAAGAGTACTAAAGGTTTATGTGTCAAACATCATACTGTCAAAAAATAAAAAAAGTATAAGAAAAACTTGGAAGGTCATGGATGATTCAAGTACACTGACAACTATTCACAATTTAAAGAACAAATTCTGAGCCACTTCGCTCTTTTTTTTTGTATACTAGCAGACAGCTGGAACATTATGCCGTTCCCCATCCCCTTTTATTTTATAATGATTTGCTCACAAGGTTCAGATACATTGTGTTTCAAATAATCATTTCCTGAATTTTTAATAGCTAAGCTACTTACTGATAGAACCAAATATCTTATTATTTCTCGATTCTTTCTTTTTCCTTTCTTCCCATACCCATCTTAGTTTTCATCACTTTTAAAAACCCTTATTAGGTTACCAAACTCAAAATAAAACCCACTGTTATTCAATTGATTCCTGATTTATGACAACATTCATTTGGTTCTGTATTTGTAAATTTCTATGAAAAGAGACTATCTATTGTTCTCCCACACAGTACCTGTTGGATTCTAAGTTCTGTCCATATGCTTGGAAGTCTAACTCAACTATGTCACCAGGAGTCTGCCATAATCAGGTCCAGGGTCTTCACAAGCATCCATGAAGGCAACCCTGCCACAGTAAAGTACTGGCCCATGGCCCTTGGGCCTTATGCCAAACACCACCAACAAAGACCCAGTTGAGCCACCCACTGTCAGGACGCCATCCTGTCATGGCATCATGAGCTTCAAGGAGGTCCTGTGTGATGATATTTGTATGACTACGTGTATTTACAGTCTGCTGTTGAGGTTCGACACTTATCGTTGCAGTTCAACACTTCTATGTCAGTTCTTTATATCAGGGATTGCTTTGCAGCCAACTAACTACTTTATAAGGAGCTCTGATGGCCTAGTGGCAAGAAGCTGCACTGCAATCCCAAAGGCATGTTGTTTGAGATCATCAGCTGCTCTGTTGGAGTATAGGCAATCTTCTCCCATGCAATTAGTTGCTTCTGAAAACTCACTGGAGGATCTGCTATGGGTTGGCTGTGACTCAATGGTACACACACAACACACAAACAACAAGTACTTTATAACTAGCTGTGTATATGCTTGCTTGTTTACGGTTTGCTTTTATTAATACAGCACTTTTCTGTCAGTACACTGTACAGGTATACGGTGCGCCTTGCTGCGACGCTGGAAACTATGCCATAGTGTCAAACCATAAGGGTTAGTCAGTATGGAAAAGTTGCAGCCGAGCTCCTCAGTTAAGACAAATCTTGACTTTTGAAATAAGAGGACTTTAAAAACCCTATGAACAACAGAGAAACACAGGTAGCTATAGTATTAGGGATGGAGCTCAGAGGGGAAGTCACTCAAACATGAGAAGCAACAGGTACAAACCATTATTAATAATTGAAATATGCAATGTACAAAGTATGAATGTAGGGAAACCAGGGGTTGTCAAAACTGGAATGGAACACCTTATATTAGAATGTCATAATTTACTGTCAAGTCCAACTTCCTACTGTATTCTAAATATATTCTCCAATCCATCTTCCAAACAGTCAAAAATAATCTGTGTGAGGGCCAAACATTATCCTCTTACTTGATATTCAAACTCAAATACTCAAAAGAGTAAGAGTCCAAGTGTCCCCAAGTGTTCTACAATTATCCTCCCCAGTCCCTGTTAACAGAACAAGAGTCTGCCCCAAAAAAAGAGACATGGCCAACGAACAGCTCCATTCCATTTCACATTGAAGGTCTACAGGGATAAGGCTGTAGCTACTAGCTCCTTTTTCTTTTCTCTCAATTTAACTGACAAATTTCTTTGAAAGAAGTGAAAATGACTCATCATCAAGAAATGTTAGGCTCTCCAAATGTTAAGTAGGTTATTCCACAAAATATCGTAGCTCTTAAAACAACTCTTCTTAAACATTTTTGACTAACTTAATCCTTTTCTTCAATTAATAGTTAGTGAAGAACTCCATAAAAAGTGGTTGAAGACAATGTTTTATGAGGCCAACAACAGCTAACAAAAAATTGTGACCATACAGAAATATACAGGCTACTGAGTAAAGTTCAGATGGTTAGGTACAATGAAAACTCAGTGGCGGATGAAGAAGAGATGTAATAAAACCTAACTCAGACTTCTGAAAGACTAGTCTGGTCGCTATGTATGAAAGAGTTAAATACACTGATAATCTCAGTATTTCCATCAATCCTTAAAACTATAAAAACTGATAATCACTTTTTCTAATATTTAGAAAGAATGATATGTACTTTCAATTATTATTGATCATTATATAGGAATTACAGAATACCTGATCATTGCTGGTCAACCCAAGGTGCATCACCAGGTAAAAGTGTACCAGGAAATCTGAATTTGGTAGAACATCTTGGCGTCTAGTCATCATGGCGCAGATCAGTCTATAGGCTTGCAATTTGCCTTCCTTGTATTCATCTGACAACGTTGTTGCCTGTCAAGGAGATGAGATGAAAGATTAAAACAACTCCAGAAAGCTGTAAAGCATTTCAACATTTTACTTATTTCTTAGTTTTCCATAAGGGTCATTTACAAAGGTGTGGAGTATGCTTAGCGATACTTTACTGCCTTTGAAACATATAAGCCTGAGCAATTACATATTTTTTCTTTTTTCCTTTGAAAAAATTTTATTTTACACTTGTTTGCATAGTTTGTATACATTGAGTTTCACACATTCCTTTATTCACACTGTGTTTCATGATCATTCCCATACATTGTCTCATAAAATTAATCACCATTGGATTATATAAACTTGGTTTTAGAAAGAATGAGGAAATAGCAATAAAAGAATGAACCTATATCCACTTGCCTTAAATAGCCATGATGCGAACATTCTGAGTGGTGGAATAAAGACGGGAGGAGACGGAGATGACTGGTTATCCAGGCTTATTGCTAGATTATCACGTATCTAATATACAGAGAAAGCAAATTAACAGAAAGAAATATTCAATTAGTCTCCATACTATTTGAACATTGTCTTTGATGTTGTTGTTTGTTGTTATGTGCCGTCGAGTCGCTTGCAACTCATAGCGACCCTATGTACAACAGCCCTAAACTCTGTCCTGTGTCAATCGCACCATCTCTGACACTCCCATCCCGATTATCCCAGTCACTGAATCAATCCACCTCATAGAGGGTCTTCCCCTCCTGCGCCATCCCGCCACCCTCCCAAGAATGATGTCCCTCTCCAAGGACCAGTCTCTCCTCACAACATATTCAAAGTATGTTAGACGGAGCCTCAGAATCCTTGCCTCCAAGGAACAAGCCGGTTTAACCCTTTCCAGGACAAATCAGTTTGTTTTCCTAGTAGTCCATGGTACATTCAATACTCTTCTGCAGCACCACAGCTCAAAGGCATCAATTCTCCTTCTATCGTCCTTGGTCACTGTCCAACTCTCTGATGCATAACAAGTGATTGCGACGACCATGGCCTGTATCAGATGCACCTTAGTCTCCAGAGAGACACCATTGCTCTTCAGTACTTTGGAGAGGTCCCTAACAGCAGACTTTCCCATGGCAATGCGCCTTTTAATTTCCTGGCTGCTGGTGCCAAGACTGTTGACTGTGGAGCCAAGCAAACTAAAGCTGTGTACAATCTCAATCTCTTCACCATCCATCCTGATGCTGCCAATTGGCCCAGTGGTGAGAATCTTTGTCTTCTTGACATTGAGCCTCAATCCATATTGTAGGTTGCAGTCCTTGACCCTCTGCAGCAGGTGCTTCAGGTCCTCTTCAGTTTCAGCAAGCAGGGTTGTGTCACCTGCATAACGCAGAGTGCTGATAAATCATCCACCAATCTTGACCCCACATTTTTCCTCATAGAGCCCAGCCTCCCGGATAATCTGTCCTGCATATAGGTTGAAAAGGTATGGATATACGATGCATCCCTGGCGTACGCCCTTCCCAATTTTGAACCATGCAGTGTGCCCTTGCTCTGTTCTGAGGACTGCCTCCTGGTCCAAGTATAGGTTTCGCATTAGAAGGATCAAGTGTTCTGGATTCCCATTCTTCTCAGAGTCAGCCATAGTTTGTTATGATCCACACAATCAAATGCCTTTGCATAGTCAATGAAACACAGATAAGACATTCCTCTGGTATTCCCTGCTTTCAGCTAAGATCCATCTAACATCAGCTACAATATCCCTAGTACCATGACCCCTTCTAAACTCAGCCTGGACTTCTGGTAGTTCTCTGCTGATGTGCTGTTCCAGTCGTTTTTGGATAATCTTCAGTAAAATCTTGCTTGCATGTGAAATCAGTGAGATTGTTCTGTAGTTTCCACATTCTGTTGGGACACCTTTCTTTGGGATTGGAACAAATACCGATCTCTTCCAGTCAGTTGGCCAAGTGGTCGTTCTCCAGATTTCTTGGCACAACTTGGTAAGCACGTCCAGGGCAGCATCTGTTAGCTGAATTATGTCAATTCGTATACCATCTATTCCTGGAGCCTTATTTTTTTTGCCATTTCCTTCAAAGCAGCCTGAACTTCTTCTTTCATCACCATAGGCTCTTGCTCATATGTTGTTTCATGAAATTCTTCTGTGTCTTCCAATTCCTTTCGATACAGTGACTCAGTATAATCTTTCCATCTTCTTTTAATACTTCCTGGATCATTTAACATTCTACCGAAAGCATCCTTGATTACAGCAACTTGAGGTTTGAATTTGTTCTTCAGTTCCTTGAGCTTAAGATATGCTGAGTGAGTTCGGCCTTTTTGATTTTCTGACTCCAACTCCTTGCACATTTCATTGTAATATTTTGCTTTGTCATCCCGTGCTGCCTTTTGAAATCTTCTATTCAACTCTTTAGTATCTTGAATTCTTCCTTGTGCTTTGGCTTCTCTGCGCTCCAGTGCAATTTTCAGAGTCTCTTCTGACATCCATTTTGGTCTTTTCTTCCTCTTCTTCTTTGCAATGACCGTTTGCACTCTTCCTGGATGATACCCTTGATATCCTCCCACAACTCATCTGGCCTTCGCTGATTAGTGTTCAAAGCCTCAAACGTGTTCCTGAAATGGTTCTGAAATTCAGGTGGGATAGCTCATTTACATTTAAATTGCAAAAAAATCTACAACCTTTGTCATCATAAAAGCTACAGTTATTTTACATTGTGTGTTGGGCTAACTGTATGCGTAGAAATTTAAATACAAAACTAGGACCTTGTTTTTCCTTGAATTAATGACTGGAGATGTCCTGAACTCCAAAAAAACAAGGAATGGTTTAATATTAATCCTGCTTTTGAAAACATTAATAACATGTAAAAATGAATGCTAGGCACAAAGCATCATTGACTTGACAGCAGTGGGTTCAGTTTACTATTACTTCTGTTACTACCGTTACTTTGTGTCTACTCAAAGGTAAGTGGTTTGAATCCACTGAATGGAGAAGAATGGACAATCTCTTCTCAGGAGATTTAAAGCTTTTGAAAATCTGATGCAGGGTCAACTATGAGTTGATTCTGACAGGATGACAATATAATAACAATATTCAAATGACTCCAGCAATGGTTATGAGCTCAACTACTAACTTAAAGGGCAGATGGTGCAAATCTAACAACTGCTTTGTGAGAAAGATGTACAGTTGCTTCTTTAAAGATTACAGCCTTGGAAACCCCATGGGATGCTTCCACCCTATCTTATAGAGTTGTTCTAATTTAAAATATACTCTATGGGTGAGCTCTGGTGGCCTAGTGGCAAGAAATAGCACTGCAATCTTGGAGGTACACGGTTCGAATCCACCAGATACTCTGCTGGAGAAGGAGGAACAATCTCCTCCTGTATCAGTCATATCTGATTTGACGGTACACACATAAATTTTTTTAAAAAAAAGAATAATAAAAAATATATTCTATGGAAATAGGCTGTCATAATAGTCTACTTATGGGCTAAATGAAAGGATTTTTTTGCATTTAGAAAAAAGGCTACTATAACTGTTATTGCTGTCTGAAGCATTAAGAAACAAAAAAAACAAACACAATTCACTACTTTGAAATCTGTTCCAACTCATGGTAACTATGTCTTACAGAGCAAAACTGCTCCAGAAAGATTTCTTAACAAGAGTTAAGAGTCTTCATGTTAATGGTCCAGGAAGGTTTGTGCTATTAATCTTCAGGTTTGTAACTGAGCAAATCATCTGCATCACCTAAGGATGGGATAAGTAACTTAGCATAAGGTATTTGAAGGTAAGGTAGCAGGACATACCTTTGTTAGTTTGTACCAGAGTTCATAAAGATAGCCAAATACTTTGGCATGGATCTTGGGTGAATGGATATTATTCACATCTCCAAGAATTCCCAAGATTCTTCTCCACAGCACAGCAGCAGAGTCTGGGTGCCAGCCAGTAAGATTCCCTCCAGCAATAATGCTACAGTCATCTGTGAGGCATTCACTGCTATCTGTGGAGAAAAGCATGTATATCAGCTATGAAAAATAATCTTGCCTCTTAAATGACATAATACTTGTTAAAAATTGAAATATTCGGAGTAAAGGAACTGAAATGCAAATTTGGAAATGGCTGAGAATTAGAAAGACAGAAAAGGTGAACAATTGAACAAAAGTCAAATGATCCTGATTCTCTAAACTGAAAGGGCAACAACTAGAGATGCCATAATAGTTTTAGGAGACTTTGTGAAGGATTTTATAAAGCTGACAGAGATAATAAAAGAATGCTGAGCAGAACAGGATAATATGCTCTGCATATAGGTTGAAAAGGTATGGAGACAGGATGCATCCCTGGTGTACACCCTTCTCAATTTTGAACCATGCAGTGTTGCCCTGCTCTGTTCTGACGACTGCCTCCTGGTTTAAGTATAGGTTTCGCATTAGCACAATTAAATGTTCTGGGATTCCCATTCTTCTCAGAGTCAGCCACAGTTTGTTATGATCCACACAGTCAAATG